CATCTTTCTTCGTCTAATTCATTAAAAGGCCAGAGAAACTGTTAGCGTTTGATTGAGAGGTGGGGGATCAGGGAGTGATCTCCCTTGATTGGGTCGACTTGGTGATGGGGAGTATGATGTTGAAAGACCCGAAACTCCCTGATGAACCAAGTCAGATAACATCACTGACGAACCCCGCCCCCGGGCGCCTACTTAAGAGCGTATTTTTTTAATTACATTTGGGAATCAACACATTTTTTTTTTTTGATAATTTCTAGTCAGCAAGCATTGGTCTTTTGCAGCAAGAATAAAACCTTCTGTTTCAGCTTTTAAATAAGCAACCAATGGTGGGTACGGCGTTTGTCTACCTCGTCATTTTGGGGCACAGTCAAAGTATTGACCGTGAAGAGGCTCAGCTTGCTGTTGAGTGAGCAAACAGCGCACCCAGAGAGCGACGGTGGGGTACAAATACCTGAAGCTCAATGTATCCATCATGACACCCAGTCTAATAGGGGTATATCAAGCACAACTCATGGATTAACCATTGCTCTTCTCTCCCCCAGCTATGGGTTAAATAGCAGGGTAGTGTGAACTTTCTAGCCGTGGTTAGCACGCAGTCTAGAAGAAAGACAACTCTGAATTCAGATTATTAAACCAGGGGTAAAACCATCGTTGCAACATGGCTTCCCTCTGGTTTTTCTGTAAATATCTTCATGGCAATTGTTCTGATGAGTTTTCCTCCTCGGTGCTTCGACCGAATGAATTTAAGCGGCAGAAATACCTTCTACATATACCGCCAAGAATGACCTCGCACATAATAGTAAGATATTAGTGGCAACCGTGCCTTCGTGTAGCTAATGTCTTACCATTATGTGGGAGGTATTTTTGCCGCACCCTGTACTAGATTGGCGATTAGGTTTCATCGTTTTACTGATGAAATAGCAAGATGTAACCGTAAGTTCTATTCTAATAGTTTCTTTTCTCGCACTTCTCATCTCTCTCCCGATTCCTTGCTTACCTGCCACTGACTATCTTTAAAAATTTAAATCGCCATCTTCTGTCTTCCTGAATCTTGTTCCTTTTTTGTCTTTTCTCTTCACTAAAGTCTTATCATTCTCTTCCACTCCCAGTAACATCTTACGTCTTAGGGGAATTATCGCCTTGCTTGAAGTGAAATAAGTAAAATAAATAGTATGAGTAAAACTCTTTTTTTTTTCACAGACTCATTGGTGCCTTTGTTAAAAAAAAAAGAAGGGAATCTGTAGCCATTTTTATATTCTTTTAAATGTGTAGCAATTAACCCACACGGGGTATATTGAGACACGTGAGATAAGGGAAAGCAGCGAGTCACTTATTTGGCGAGCTTGCGTGAATGGATGGTGGAACGGTGGGGGAGAGGTGCTTATCAAAAGAAGCAAAACAAAAAAACTGCTAAAAGCCACACGAGGTCGGAAGTAGTGGAGAGCCACGATCGCCAATGTCAATGAAGTGTTGTGGCGCATAAAAGAAGAAACAGCGAATCAACTAAATAAAAAGTTCCTGCGGGATAACAAATGATTTTCACAACGAAGTTTCCGGCTGATATCGGTTCATCTTGGATTTCACTTTTCATTGTCCTTTGCAAATGGCGGCGAAAGGTCAACTCTCGCGAGACCGGAACGAGACAGAACCTTATGCTAGTCGATGCGATGCGTTTGAATATTATCTGCTATGAGTCATCATCATCTAAATCCGTGTTCCCTAGTTTTCTTTTACACCTCGATTCCTACACGCTATCCTTGACATTCTAACGCCCACTCCATTTTTAAACGAAAGTATAACAATGAGAATAAAAGGTAGAGGGGGGTAGATTAATAAAATTACCAAATCACTCATAATCATTTTCCCCTCATTTGCAATTCATTTCTTTAATAAATATTTATATATTATACATTATCTATCAGTATTGCTTGGATGAATATCTTTTGCCACATTTATAATACATTTCCACAATAAATACTTATATATTATGCATATAATAGTATTATTCTGTTGGGGGTCTTGAAATAATTCCACACAATTTACAATTCTTCATCCTCGAAATGCAATGCATTTCCATTGTATTTAATAACCATTATCCTTCAAATAAGTTCACTTATCCTGTTATGTGACTAATAGAAGATTCGTTCTTACCGTAGATCTTAAAACAATAAGTTAATAACAATAACTAATAATAAATTCGGCAATTATAACAATAGACTGTAATAAAAGTTATGTGACTAATAGAAGATTAAACCGTAGATTTATAACAATAAGATTAATAACAATAACTAATAATAAAATGGGGCAATTATAACAATAGACTGTAATAAAAGTTATGTGACTAATAGAAGATTCGTTCTTACCGTAGATCTTATTAGGCACAATAAGAGATTGATAACAATAACTAATAATAAAATGGGGCAATTATAACAATAGACTGTAATAAATGGATATAACTGACGAAGTTAAATTCAGTTTGCGCTATATTTTCAGGTAAACACATTGGCAGACTTCTTTCAAGATGATACAATCTTCATCGCCTATGGATCAGAGAAATATTCCAGAGACGATTTTGACCTCGATGAAGGCGGTAAAGTAGACATTTTCTCTTTCTCTTTCTACCGTCACTCTCGCTTTCTTTCTTTCGTTCCTTATCTATCTATCTATCTATCTATCTATCTATCTATCTATCTATCTATCTATCTATCCCAGTCTGTTCCATATCGATATATATATATATCTCAATGTTCATATCTATGTATCTACAAGGTGCGATAGGTAAATTGTTGCCATATTATATTTTTAATTTCGCTTATTTTTAATTTCGCCAATACAAACATTTCAGCGTCTGGGTGTCAATCTGATGACAATACAGAGGATTTCGAAAGAGTTGGATGAGTCTAATGGTGATTACGAAGGTGTTGAAGTGGTCACGAGCGATAATGACGTTATGCCTTCATTCATCTTCCCACAGAGAATCCGATTCAACACAGAGGCCTACATCAAGTATCTTGAAAAGATAGTGCTACCCTGGGTGAAGAGGGTGGCTGCTGGGATACCCCATGTCTGGCAACAGGACTCTGCACCATGCCACACAAGCATGAAGACCCAGTCATGACTGTCAGATAATTTCTGCGACCACATCACCCCTTACACCTAACTCCCCAGACTGCAACCCCTTTGAGTGTTATGTGTTGATCGGGAGACCAACAAAACACCTTGTAATACCAAAAGTGAAATGAAGGCAAGAATCATGGTAGCATTCACCAACTTGAACAAGGAGACCATCCAGAAGTGTTTCAGGAGATTCCGAAGTCGTCTGGAGGCAATGGTTGAAGCCAATGACGATTTTACTGAATCAATTTACTCTTCAATATTTCAAGATATGTTTGTGCCATTTTGGTAAATATAACTTTTAAAATGGGATGCCATTGTTATTTCCATTTTTGCGTAATTTAGACGACAATTTATCCATCGCACACTGTATCTATCTATCTATCTATCTGTTTGTCTGAAGTTTGCCTCTTTCTCTTTGTTTTCACTCCTTCTCGGTTTCACACCTTTTGTTTCCTTTTGTTTATTGTTTAACATTTGCCATGAATTCTTGGGAAAATAAAATAATCGACTTTCTTCACGGTTTTGAATTCAGAAATATCCTTCCCGAGAACATAGATAGATAGATAGATAGATAGATAGATAGATAGATAGATAGATAGATGTGTTGTGAACATACTGAGATAGATAGATAGATAGATAGATAGATAGATAGATAGATAGATAGATAGATAGATAGATGTGTTGTGAACATACTGAGATAGATAGATAGATAGATAGATAGATAGATAGATAGATAGATAGATAGATAGATAGATAGATACAAAAGAAAAGAAAGAAAGGTCTAAGTTATATAGACTGGTAGATATATAGAAAGAAAGAAAGAAAGAAAGAAAGAAAGAAAGAAAGAAAGTTAGATAGGTAGATTGAAAGAAAGAAAGAAAGAAAGAAAGAAAGAAAGAAAGAAAGAAAGAAAGAAAGAAAAAAAAAAAAAGTAAGAAGTATTGATTGATTTGTTTTTACGGCCTGTTTAAAGCCTGAAAATATCTTTAGATTGTAAGAATTTTTGGGAGATAAAAATGATTTATTGATACAAGACCTAATAATTAAACCAAAGCTGGTGGGGGGTGGGGCAAGAGATGTATTCATACCTATCCCAAGGCTATTTGTGCGTAAATAAATATAACAAACTCGACTGGAATTATAATTCTCCGATTTCCAATTCCGAGACTTTACCCACAATAGATAGATAGATAGATAGATAGATAGATAGATATTGACAAACAGATATATTATGAAATAGACAAAGTCCGACAATTATTTTAAGACATTTTTATGTTTATACTTAAATATCTATATCTATAAAAAGAATGTATAAACATAAAAATGTCTTAAAACAGATATATATATATATATATATATATATATATATATATATATATATATATATATATATATATATATATATATATATATATATTGAAGGCGATAGATATTGACAGAATGTGATAGATAGATAGATAGATAGATAGATAGATAGATAGATAGATACTGACAAACAGATATATATATATATTGAAGGCGATAAATAGATATTGACAGAATGTGATAGATAGATAGATAGATAGATAGATAGATAGATAGATATTGACAAACAGATATATATATTGAAGGCGATAGATAGATATTGACAGAATGTGATAGATAGATAGATAGATAGATAGATAGATAGATAGATAGATAGATATGAACGGACTGAGATAGATAGATAGATAGATAGATAGATAGATAGATAGATAGATGTTATCAGTGTAAAAAATAATACTGATTTCAATTTCTGTCCGTGGGCATATGCCCAGGTGTGATTCTATATTAAATGCTAATAAATTACTTTGTTTTTTTTTTTAACAGAAAAGAAATTAATCGGGCAGAAGACGTTTGATCCGATGGTTCTAAAAAAACTGAATATTAACGGTATGTAATTCATATTTCATATTTTATTGTATTTTGATGGCTGTCAGCTTGTCGAGTATGACCTTTGCACTTTTTGTCGAATATGACCTTTGCCCTTGTTGCCGAATTTAAACATCGCAAGACATTACTGTACGACTTGATTGTGACTTACGCTATCAAGCAATTGCCTGTGCGTGAGATATTATATTAAGCCAATCGCACACTCCCAGCAAGAATAGCTTGCACCCAAAAATAAGAACCATTCAACATCACTGGATGTTGTCAAACCGCAGGTTTCACATCAGTGTTTTCCTTCTCCTAGTTGGATATCTTAATGAAGTCTTAGAAGTCCAACCCTCCCAGTGAGTTTACCGCGCGCTAACCCAGGTATTTCTACATACCCGTATCTGTGCTTGACGGCCGTTGATCCTATGAAAGGATTCATCCACCGTTTCACAGGTATCGTTTTTAAGCCATCTGGGTGTCTACCCACCCACCCCAGGTAAAAAAAAATCAGATGAGGGAACCGGTTTAGTTGCCGATAACCCCACCAGTACTATTCTTCTAACCCTAACCTGACAATATGTTATTATACGTACATAATTCTGAGCCCGGCCATCCGCTACGGCGACTAGCCAATCCCTGTTGCAGACGTTGGCTCAGGCACATTTTTGTTTTTTCAACATCTGTGGTGGCTTCCTGTGGCTTATACTTCAAGTATGCTGTGCGGATATTAGAGAGAGCATATAATCTGACATGATCAACACTTTGAATAAGACCAGTACACTCAAAGCCTCGGTCACGATGTCTTGTGACTTCGTGCAAGCACAATAGTTCAGCGGCCTCCGAACACTTCAGTCTACCCAATTTCCCCCTCACAAGTCAACCCGTGCCGTGGTTTTCAGGCACATTCAACGCTGGGATCGCCCCCACTCCAAACCTATATCATGCAATCACCTTCTTGACAAAGTAACTATGGTGAGGATTCGAACCATTTGGCCACACGCCCAAAATACATATATACATACATACATACATACATACTAGAACTTCTCTGACTGATTTATTTTTTTACGGTTTATCAACCGTTTGCAGGTTATTTAAAGGCAGAAACACTTTTGGATTGTAAGAATTTGGGGGAGATGATAATTATTTACTGATACAGTTCGTACTATTTAACCCATAGCTAGGGGAGAAGAGGGGGATTTATACATTTTCCAAGGGTATTTGCGCGACAATCCCGATTTCCAATTGCCAGCCGTTGTT